GCGCGTGCGTCCAGCAGCGGCGGTGGAACCACGAGAAAGACGAGCTGCACACTCAGAAGTTGAGCTGCGGGATTTGTTCTTGAAGCCAACTCGTGAGTCAGACGGCGTCGCCTCTGGATTATGAAGAAACCATTTGTGTATGAATCGTTGTTGAACTTGAGCCCCGACTGTTTGCAAGTGCCTTGCATGCTGCGCACTGGCTCAGGTTGTTGCACAGCTCGCCTGCTTTGGGTTAGGTCTTGGCGGTGACGAGAGTTGACAGTAGCCCTACAGAATTTTCTTCGGTTGCTGTCGAACACAATGCGCCCACGCGCACACACACATATCCCTGTTCGTGCTGCTGCTTCTCGAGCGAGGTGAGACACAGAGACAAAGAACACAAGACACCGAGACACAGCCGGATTCAAATACGCAGACATTGAGATAGAGACACAATACAGCCGAAAGACATTTAGACACACAGACAAACTAAAAAAACACGCAAACCTACAGAGCCACAACAGAAACAGGTACAAAATACTTGACGCAGACAAACAATACGCACGCACACACAGACAATGATTTGAAAGAGTGGACATCGGACCTGATTTAGAGCTCTCGGGGGACCGAGATTTTGCCGACATTGCGGCAAGCAAAGTGCCTGCGTATGCATAAGTGTGTACCCGTGCATATTCTGCATATGCCTCCACCGTATGCCAAAGTCGCGATCAAATCTACATCTTGCGACCCACACCCGTCGTTCATCTCGAGCAGCTGTGCACAAACAAAAACTGCTCTAGTTGCTTGCGTGATGCATGAACGTGAAGCGCAGAGTGGAAGATCCTTGGCATCGGATCCCAAGGTCCAAGCCCGAGATTGAGACAGGTCTAACCCGAGCAACACAAAATGCGCACTGCAGGGCAATGCATTCTGTGTGGTTTCTGAAGTCTTCCGACAACCGAGGGCCGAATGGTACTACTGGTGCCGGGATACCGCTGCTGAATATTGCAGGGGAGATCGGACGACTGTAAAATGCAGGCGGACAGGACGGGGCCCATGAGACAAGAGAATTGGCACAGTTCCACGGCCCAGACGGCCCAGATGTCACGATGGGGGATGCTTGATTGAGTAACCAGGGCCCCGTCCTAATTATTTACATGTGATCATCTCGAACAGACCTTTCGGTCGGCTTTACAACCCTCTCACCCAAAGCCCAAGGCTTGTAATTCTGGGTGAGCACATCAGCCAAGGAGCCGTGGATTAACGGAGCAACGTGTGAGTAACATTTACCCATGCACATACACGTACGCATACATACACATACATACACATACATTCATACATACATCTACACATACACACATACACACATACACTCACACATACACACATACACACATACACACAGACACGCAGACACACATGCACACATACACACACACACACTCACACATACACACATACACACATACACACAGACACGCAGACACACATGCACACACACACATACAAACACACATACATACATACATACATACGTACATACATACATACATACATACATATGCATGCATGCATGCATACATACATACATATATACATACATACATACATATATACATACATACATACATACATAGATACATCGATACATCGGTACATCGGTACATCGGTACATCGATACATAGACACATAGATGCTTATATACATATGTACGTATTTACATATATACTTATACATATGCAGGTGCAGATGCAAGTGCATATACATATGCATATGCTTATACATGTACACATAATGTGTGCAGGTATATACGTGTGCTGCGTATTTCTGAGGTGCCAGCCTTTACTGTTTACTGTTGTCTTGATAGTCGGAGGTCGAGCGATTCGGGGGCTGCTCCGACATGGTTCCTCTGTGGCAGAATGAAAGAGTTCGTCACAAAAGAAATTAAGATCGGAGCAGCATGCTGCTCTGCGAAACTCGTCTCCGCCGATTCCACCCTCAACCAAGATGCCCTCACGCCCTGATTGAAGCAAACATGAAACTGAGGGTTAGAAGGATTTAGTACCATGCTGCTGAATTCCTGGATTGAACCTGAGACTGCACCTTGCAGTCGGTTGTGGCTTCGTGAGTTTCCGCACGTTTGCATGGTTCTAGCTCGCAAAGAGCGTCTGGACAGCAATGGCCACTCGTTCCAGCCAAACTCGGTTACCTCCGTTCGTGGACTCAGCCATCGGGCGGTGGGAACTTCGTACGGCTGATTTCGTGCAGTACAGATTTCCGGAATCTAGGGCTTTGGGGCCCCTGGGACGGAGGCCGAGGTAAGACATGGTGTGCGCACGAAAACTAGGCGTTTTCGGTATGTTTTAGCTTCTGTGCTGTGCTCAACAGTGTACCTGAGTGTTGGGATAGTGCTGACCGTCTCCGCCCCCTTTGCCTGCAAAACGCCGTTCTATTAGAGGGTCACAGTCGGCTGCGAACTGTTGCCGCAAGTTGCCTCCACTTGATCTTCCGATCTGCATGTTTGCGTGAAAGAGTGTGCCATAGCTGATAGCTGACCGATAAAGCATTGTCTTTCAGCATGCTGATTTCGCTTGAGCAAGATCTGTGGTAGAGTGGTGGAGCAGACAGTGTGCAGTTAGAGTTGTAGGGTTGTCACAAGTCAGGTGCATACGTGCTTGTTCTGTTGTGGTGACTGAGAAACCTATGGTCTGGCTTCAGCTATGTCCGGAGATTACGAATTACTCAGCAACGTGCTCCCCAAAACAGCACTGAAGAGCTGTAACCTGCTGGGAGGAGTCCTTTTTTCACCAAACAGGTACGGTTTGGGGTTCTTTCCTCAGAAAAAAGGTGGGCCGCGGTGGCTGGATGGGTGGGCCGCGGCGACGGGCCTGGGCTGTTATTGGGCTCCCTTCATGTTTCCTTTTTGGGCTCCTGGGTTGGATGGTTGGGCCGCAGCCACGGGCCTGGGCTCCCAGGGTTGGACGGCTGGGCCGCGGCCTGTTTGACGGCTGGGCCGCACAAGGGCCTGGGCTCGCATTGGGCTCCCTTCATGTTTCCTTTTTGGGCTCCTGGTTGGATGGCTGGGCCGCGGCAAAGGGCGGCAAAGGGCTTTTGGACTCCGTTCATGTTTCCTTTCTGGGCTCCTGGGTTGGAAGGCTGGGCCGCACAAGGGCCTGGGCTCGCATTGGGTTCCCTTCATGTTTCCTTTTTTGGCTCCTGGTTGGATGGCTGGGCCGCGGCAAAAGACCTTTGACTCCGTTCATGTTTCCTTTCTGGGCTCCTGGGTTGGACGGCTGGGCCGCACAAGGGCCTGGGCTCGCATTGGGCTCCCTTCATGTTTCCATTTTGGGCTCCTGGGTTGGACGGCTGCCATCAAATTTTCTTCTGGGTTGGATGGCTGGGCCGCGGCAAAGGGCCTGGGCTCCCACTGGGCTCCCTTCATGTTTCCTTTCTGGGCTCCTGGGTTGGACGGTTGGGCCGCATGAGTGGCCCCCACAAACAAAACCTTTTGGTCGCGGCATTCACTTTTCCAAAAAAAGAACGCGTCTTTCTCGTGCGGATGTCATCACTCCAACACGTTCCAAGTTGAACCTGCAAGACGGAGCATACTCGGTGCAACTATGAGTGCCCACCACAAACAAAACTTTTTGGTCACGGCGTTCTTTTCCAAAAAAAGAACGCTTCCTTCTCGTGCGGATGTCATCTCTACCCATTCTTCTTGTGCACAAAAACAGTCCATATGCTTAAACATTTGTTTCGCAGCGTCTGCTTGCGAAGCCAGATAGGGTTTCAACACGTTCCAACTTGAACCTGCAAGAAGGAGCATACTTGGTGCAACTATGAGTGCCCACCACAAGCAAAGCCTTTTGGTCACGGCGTTCTTTTCCCGAAAAAGAACGCTTCCTTCTCGTGTGGATGTCATCAATACCCGTTCTTCTTTTGCACAAAAATAGTCCATATGTCTACGCATTTTTTCGCAGCATCTGCTTGTGAAGCCAGATTGGGTTCCAACACGTTCCAACTTGAACCTGCATGATTCGATGCATCCTGTTTGGGGTCTACGCTGGTGTAATTCAAAGGGCTGCTTGGAAGGAATGAAGCTGACTGCTCGCCTGGCTTGAGGATGGCATGCGACAAAGTGCGCAGGTCTGCTTTCACGGAATGCTGCATTTCCTAGTTCGATGGCAAGAATAGTGTATGGGTTGAGGCATTCAGGTCGCAGAAGTTTGCTTTGTCATGCGGCCGTTCATGTTCGGAACCCGGGATTCCTCCTACACTTACTGGCCCATTGCCCTTCGCAGCAATGCCTTCAATGTGCCGCTTCAGTGAAAAGCGATGACGGACCCCAAAGTACCTTGCTGCAGACTTGAACCTTAAACCCTAAAAGATGTCAGCACTCTGGCGGAGATCGCCTGCGCAAACCCATATGCTGCAAACCCGGCACCTGACGCCCCAAATCCTATACCTCAATCCGCGACCCTGAACTTCGAAACCAATCCTTCGTGCTCTCCTGTCTTCATATTGATTCTTGGGAGTCCTTGTATTCCATTGCCGAGTGGACTTCAAAAATGCAATGCAGGATCAGGTACACGGAGAACAAGAGTCTGATGACGGTCCTGCTCATGATGTTAGGGTTGGGTTTGACGCCGTGATCATAACGATGGTGGTGATGATGTGTAGCACTTCCAGCACCAGCACCCTCACCTTTACCCTTCCCGTGACCCTCACCTCACCCCGCACTTTTTGATCTATCATCACCGTCACCCTCACCCGGCACCTGCACCCTCACCCTCACCCTCACCCGGCACCTGCACCCTCACCATCACCATCACCATCACCATCACCATCACCACCATCACCATCACCACCACCACCACCATCATCATCATCATCATCATTCTCGTCGTCGCGATCTTCATCATAGCCATCAATCCGCCGCGGAAGTTGGGTTTTGGGTTTGGGCTCCAGGGCTTCGGAGTTTTCGGGTCACGGCTTTCAAACGTACACGCAGAGCTTGCATGCGCTTTGAGGACAAGTCCGGCAAGTGGAAGGATGTCCTGGAGGGCCCTGGCCCCGGGTCCGACGGCAAGGAGAAGCTCCTGGTCGCCGTGGCCACTGGAAAGGAGGATGAGATTCGGAGACTCTTGGAGTCGAGGGCAGATCCAAGTGCCGAGGCTTTGGTTGTCGCAGCCCGAATCGATGAGAGCAAAAGCCTTGCTGTCGTGAAACTGTTGCTGGAGAAGAGGGCTTTACCCTCTGCGACAGACAGGTATGGATGGACGCCGCTGGTGGTGGCCGCTGCAAAAGGCCATCTGGAACTCGTTTCGCACCTTCTGGAATGTCAGGCGACTCCAGATCCCATGACCGGTCCGGGCAAGAAGAGAGTCGTGACAGCTTTGCATGCGGCTGCCAGCTTCGCGAATTTTCATGGGTCACCAAGCGGAGATTTGCAAACGAAGGAGGCAGCCGAGGCAGCCAAGGAAGCGGCAGCCAAAGACTTCTTGGAAGTGGCCAGCACACTTTTGCAAAAGCAAGCCGATCCAAACGCGCTCTTGGAGTGGGAGGGCCATGAACCCACATGTCTGCTGGCAGCTGCCAGCGCCAAGGCCGAAGACAGCTATGTTCTGGATATGATACATCTCCTGCTGATGGAACGAGCAAACCCAGAGGCCGCCAGAGATGGACGCACGGTGCTGTCGGTGGCTGCGGAAGCAGATGCGGAAGGACATCGAGCCGAATACCTGCTGGACCGTCTCCTGCGCGGCGAGGGGCAGGAGTACACGGACCTGGTGCAGAATCTGCTGCAAGAGGCCTTCAAGATACATAATCGGTAGCGAACAAGAAGGTTTCCCTTCAATCCCACATGTCAAGAAAGAGGTATGTTGAATTAGAGTTGAAGCTAAGAGGCCAGCAAGAAAAGCACCGCGGTGCTGCAGCTTGAAGCTCCTTCGGGTCGGTTGGCTTTGATCTGCGCCCAGCAGGTCCAGCCTGCAAAAGGCTACACCCGCCAGCAGAGATTGCAGGAGTCCGTGCGCACCATCCTCGGTCAGGTCCCGGAGAATAGTAAGCAGGCAAGCGGGCCAGACCCGAAGTTTTGATCTCAGCAATATTCAGCCTCGCCAGCGTCCTGCCCTGAAGAGGTCAAGCCGAAAGTGTCCCTAGTGACGCGCAAAAGCACCAAGAGCAGCAGCAAGGCAGCCGCCTGGTATGACGATTATCGGTCACGTCAACGACCTTGATAATGAAAATGCTATTGATGGTAACAAAGACGCCGACCGCAGCTCACTGAGGCTCATGAGCAAGATGGTGCACATGATGATGAAAATTGCGATGTCGATGGCGAAGTGCATGAGTTTGTTGTTGAAAAGATTGTTTTGATCGTGGGGATGGGCCTGGTGCTGATGCTGCTGCTGCAGATGTTGTTGATGATGATGACGATGTTGATGGTGACGATGCTCCTTCTGGCTAATGATGTTGATGATGATGATGATGATGTTGGTGATGATGTTGAGGATGCTGCTGCAGCCGCTGCTGCTGCTTTTGATGATGGTGATGATGGTGATGATTGTGAGGATGGTGATGATGATGATGATGACGATGTGTTGCTGGAGTTGGTGGAGATGGTGGTGGTGATGGTCGTTGTGGTCATGGTTCGCTGTTGTCGTTGTTGCGCTGCTTGTTGTGGTTGTTTTTGTTTGCTGCTTGCAGGGATAAAATGCTAGGCCGCTGCGGTTTGTGCTCTTGCAGTCACCGACGTCCCTTATGCACCACAAGTTTGCATGTGCAACGGCTGCAAAGCCAGGACGATAAGACCAGAACCAGCAACGATTGGGACTTGGAGCTGCAGAACTTGCACTATGCGCCGAAAGTGCAAGTATCGTTGCGAACTCTTCCAATCCGTGCACCCTTGGCATGCCGCCCGGGAGCCTTATCCGTTTAACTTCATGCGAGCGCTTTTTTCCAGGTCTTTGTTTGGAAGTAGTGGAATACGCCTCTGAACATTAATCTTTGTAGTTTCCTGGTTGGCCAAGGAGTGTTGAGAGCTTTGGCAGAGACTGCAAACGACGAAACCTTGGCCTCTGATACGGTGGAGGCCATCACTGCTGCGGCATGGCTGCAGTTGCGGGCAGTCACCGCTGCTTGGTTCTAAAGCAAAGCTTACTCTTCGAGTTTTTTTGGATATTTTCTGTGGTGCTGTCCTGTGTTGTTTTGTATTCAGTTCTTCGGCAGTGTTCGACTTGTAATCACCCTAAATCGAGCTCAGCCCTAAACCTGTCGCATCAGGCCATAGATGTCTGTCTGGATGGCATGGCGGTCGCTTGCTTGTGTCTCTGTCATAGTTGTGGAACATTTTACATCTTTATGGGCAAGGAATAGAAACTTAAATTTGTAATGCTATCCCGACCCTATTCCTTAAACCCCAAACCCTAAGCCTAAACCCTAAGCCTATACCCTTAACCATGTACCAGGTGTGGCGTCACCATCTCCTGCCGCACTGGTGGGGACGGAAACGCCCCGCCGTGGCCTCGGCAGTTTTCTTAAGGGTTTTAGGGTTTTAAGGTTTAGGGTTTACGGTTGTAGGATGTTTTGCGTTAGAAGTGCTGTGTTGTGGGGTTTCTGGTGAAGGCTTGTGAGAAGTGACTGGACTTGGTGGTCCTAGACACTGTTTTCAGGACGTCCTTGAGTTCTCACCCTGCAGAAACGGGAAACTTTAGTGAGTATACTTCCTCGTCTCGGTTTGGCGGATATCAGGTCAGGTGTTGATATTTGAAGCATTTGAAGTGAAGCCCTTCCGAGGCTGCCATTCGTCTTTCTGATCCTCATCCAGGCGAAGGAGGCCATTGAATGGATAGTGCACTTCTTCTATGTGTTTGGTGCATTCTTCAAAAACCTGGTCAGCCACAACTTCCTCATGACACCAGTCAAGAGCGAAGATTGGGAAGACAGCATTTCCGCACAGGGTGCAGAAATTCTAGAGACCTTTGCTGATGCGCTCTTCTTGGTCGTGGGTTGTGCCGCCATTGCAAGTCAGATGCAGCTTTGCAGCGAGAACAAGATGGACAAGGTCTGGATGCCATGGTTCTGCTCGATGTATTGGCTACGATTCGTGTACAGTTTACGTGGGGAACGATGGCTGGGAATATATCTACTTCCGATTCTGTCCGCTGTGCGAGATACCTGGGCCTTCTTCTTTGTCACTTTCCTTTGTGTTGGAGGCGCCACCCACGCCTACGTTATCCTGGACCCCCGAGGAGAAGACCCCCTCCCGATATACTCTGCACTTACACACACGGTTCGCCTCGCCATTTTCGGTGATTTCGACCTCTTCGAGTACCAGGGCCAGGACACGAACTACGTATTGAACACCGAAACTAATGAGTGGGAGCCCAAAGATCCAAGTCCTCTGGACCTGGGGGCAGATTGGTTTTGGAGCTATAGCTACCTGCAGCTCTCCTTCTTCATCACCGGCATGGGCATCACGGTGCTTCTCATGAACCTCTTAATTGGTATCCTGAGCGCTAACTACGACACACACCAGGGCCGGGCACAGATCCTCTTCGTGCAAGCCAGGGCTCGCATGTTGCTGGAGCAGCAGCGCCGGCCCTGGAGTATGGCCTTCGCATGGCTGCGACGAGGCCTGAAGCCGCAGTCGAGTTCCGACACCTACAAGGATGCCAGGAGTAAGACGGCGGAGTTCAAAAGAGACTTCTTTCACCTGCCGGAGCAATACCGTTATCCTGCTATTGTGGGCATCGTAGCCCTATATCCACTTCAGCAAGTCATGACAACCGACATCTTTGGTCATTTTCTGGCAGGCGCAGTATACGGGCCTGTACTACAAGACAACAAGCTGGCCTTTATCATACTCATCTTCTCCCCACTGTTCTTGGTTCTATCAGTCGTTGTTTGGGTGATCTTTTGGCCGCTCTGCCTGGTGTTCCGGATCCAAGGCGCGACGCCCGGGGCAGTGATCTTAGACATTGACTCCCGCGCTTGACTGCACTTGCTTCCATCCCTACGTGTTTGTTGGCTTGCCCACTGAGTTAAACGTACTCGTAAGCGTATTAACTTACTTAGGCACTTACTTACACACTTCTTGCTTACTATGTGCTTACACAGTTACTTACTTGCCACTGACTGACTGATTGCCTCACTTACTTTCTTTCGTACTACCGCTGTCTGTTATTTGTGCCAATCTGCAACTGCTATGACGATGAATTGACCATGACCACTCACACCAAAATTATTATGCCGGTTTTGCTACTCTGCGCTCATGCTGAGGATGAGGATGCCGAGTCCCTGAGGATCATGTCAGGAGGATGGTCACCATCGTTGTCCTTGTCATTCTCTTATCAGTGTTGTTCTCGTCACCTCTAAGCCTCTAAAACCGTCTGCCGAACAGTGGCATGTTCAGTGAGACAGCCGTGAGCCAATCGTGTATGTTAAATTGCTCACCCGTTTTTTGGCTGCTCTGCCTTGCCCTTGCCCCGACAGGCTTGACATCTCGGGTGAAATGGAAAGTCGGGGAAGGGCATCAGAAAGCATTCAGGGTGAAATGCCAGGCATGTCAACGAACAAGGGAAAGAGGCAAGCTGCAGAAACAAGGCCATAGACGAGCGTGGCGTCAACGAGGGCACGGGTACATCCAGGCAAGAACTGGCAAAATCTCGCACCGGCCGTTCTGATGCCTTGGCCCGATCTTTCCTTTTCGGGCCACTGCTTCCCATTGAGACTCTCCAGGCCCACAAGGTAGCAAAGCCAGCAGGCGTCGAATGAGCCGCGAATCGAGGACCTGAGCCCAGTAGCATCGACAACTTTTCCTGGACATACCACACAGGTCAATTTCTCCTCCGGCCGCTGGAAATCTGAGTTGGGTTGATCAAACGTTTGAGGTCACTTGTTTGTCCGCCAATATGGTTGCGTTCCTGGCATGATTCATACGGTACTTTCGACTCCTCCTGCCTCCTGGAAAGGTACCTTGGAGCTTCTTGCAGCAACTTAGACCCTGCCTTTCCTTCAGAGCCCCCGAAAGAGGTGTGCGCTATGCGATCAATTTGACTGTCTTCGGCATCTTTCATACCCATTTCGCTTCGGAGTGCCACATCTTGGCGCTGGTTCGGAAGGAGGATGGAAAGACCGACCAGAAGGACGTGGTCTTTTAGGTGTAGCGCGAGGATGAGTGCGCAGGGATCGTAGGGATGCTCGGTTAAACCACATCTGTTTATGCTAATATCGTTCAGAGGGGTCGTCGAGTATAGGGTTGATGAAGGCCGGGTTTCGAAGTGGCCCTGATTCCTAAGCTCTGAACCCAAGCCTTGCCTTCCATAAAGCCTTAAACCTAACACCTTAAAACCCGAACACCCGAAACCCGAAAACCCGAAGCCCTAAACACCCAAAAAACCCGAATCCTACATTTCGGAACCTTGGAGGAGAAGATCGAGAAGCTGGAGGGTTATCTCAAGGCAAGCTGGGACATGTTGAAAGTAGATGGTACTGTTGAAGCTTAAATGACCAATTATAGTTATACTATAATATACCCCCAAAACCAGTTCTAATATTCACCAAGCCAATATAGGAGCCTGAAGAATTAGATGGGGTTTTGGGGTAGATTATGTTATATCTCGCAACAGGAGCCATAAGGAACACTATGACTAATGATTCTGACCCTCTGTGACAGTGCTTGCCTTCGTTTCGCTGTCTCAGGAGCTCTGCCGTGGCCACCAGGGCAGTGACGGAAAACTGGACAAGATGTTGGCTTTACTGGGTGAAGGCTGGCAGGTAATGCAGGGCGAAGGGATCACACATGCTCAAGCATGCACACGTTCGAAACCTTACAAATTAACAGCCTGAAGGGTCATGCAAGGCGTAGAGTTTGGTGACCGTTTTGCTTTGGGTGTCGGATTCAAACGATGGCTTTGGTTTAGAAATGTATTGAAGCGAGTTGAAAACCTGCATCTCTTGAAGGCCAAAACCCTCGAAGCCCAACCCTTAAACTTGAAAGCCACGAATCTCAGCGGGCTCAAAGTCCCAAGCCCTGAACTCTACACCCTTAACCGGGCCTCAACCCCAGTAAATGAAGTAGGCCCTCAGCATCTGCGGAACGTATGAGTACAAGTGTACTGTTCATTATGGTTTAGTAGTGATGACATCCGATTTGGCATGCATAATCGCAGCATCTAGTATATGACCTCTCGAGCGTATTTGCTGCTACTACTACTACTACTACTACCACTACTACTCCTGCTGCTGCTGCTGCTGCTACTACTACTACTACTACTACCACTACCACTACTACTACTACTACTACTACTTCTTCTTCTTCTACTACTACTACTACTACTACTAATTCTCCTACTGCTGCTACTGCTGCTACCACTACTACTACGGTGGATGGACAAAATCTTGCACATGCATACTTCAAACGAGTAAGGCATCAAACCCCGCACCCCCTTCTTAACATTGGCAGCTGGGACTACCTGAGCGGTGCAAGATGTCGGCCATTGGAACAAATCTGGTCTCTAGCCTGTCAGAGCCAATTCTAAACAGGGGGCACGGGGAATCATAAAATGATGCTGCTGAAAAGTGATGCAGGGTTTTGTCCATCCACAGTCCCTGCTAACGACTTGCCAGCCAAAATCTACAGGAGCGGTGTCCGCATATACCGCTCCGAAGACCGGCAATGGCTTGACTTGCTAGCCCAAACATCTACAGGAGTGGCGTCCCCCCTGTTTGATCGAAGTGCGGAAACATGCGGAAACCCTATATTTTTTCTGCAAAACGTGCAAATACGTACAAAATGACAGTCAACACTCAGCCAACACTCAGTCAACACTACAGTCAAGACTGCAGTCAACACTGCCAAAATGCTGGAAAATCCAGCATTTTGCCGTT